GTATGCCCCTATTGGAGCTCAATAGGTGGCTTGTAAGGGCTCGGGCTAATCTACCTTTGGCTAGGTAATTTAGCACTGAGTGAGGGTTACGGCTTGAGGTTAATTGAGAGAGATAAGGGTGATTGTTTGTTATGCATTGCAATATTTCTTGTATTTTTGTTGGAATTATATGACTGTTGTTTCCCTACTTAGCAAATACACATTTAACTATTTGTATACACTATCATAAATTAGCATTGGTTACTAGGACTTTTGAGTCTCATTATGTAGTTAACAATTTTCAGAAAAAGAGCCATGAGTGGTACATGGAGGAGTTACTGAGACTTAATGGTATAGATTTACTGTTTCTTTTGGGTATTTGATTTATGATTTTTATGTGTTATATTGCTAATATTAAGACTTTTTGTTTATTGACAATTATATGAATGTAATGATGTAATCATGCCCCTCAAACTATTTCTACTTTTGATATACTTTAGATGACTATAACTTTGATATCTGATTTATTTTGGATGGTTTGAAATAGCATGATTATGAGGCCAAATAATTTGCTTGTTTTGAAAATTAATTAAATTGTTTATTTTAGTTATTGGTCTATAGTTTGCACTTATTAGGAGTATAAGGATGAAAATTATGGTTTTAGCCTAATGGCATGTGGGAGGTAAAAAATTTATCTAAGATGTTGTATTGTGCAAGCTTAAGCCAATTATAAAATATTTTTATATTAAATTTATTGATATAAAGTATGTTGGGTGGCTGTAACCCAACTATGGCTGTAAATGTGTATTAGTTGTATAAAATTATTTTATATTATTTGAAAAAGGGGTTTAATATTTTTTTTACCATGGTATCTAATTTATAAGGTGAAATATTTTATAAGACTATGTTTTATCGTTTTTTACCATGGTAGTATTTTAAATTATAGAATTGTTAAAAAAAATAGGATAAGTTGATTTCTATATACCATGATAGACACTTTTCTACTATGGTTGAGTTAAATTGTTTTGAAAAAAAATTCAAGGTGTTACACAATAGGCTCACTAGCCATCACTAACCATCCTTAATTTAATGAACACTTATAATTATCTAATTATCCTCAATTTACTCAATAAATCATTTGATGTTATATTATATCATATGGCTTATTAAGTCATGATAAATTTAAAATATTTGATTTTATTTTTAAATTAAATAGCTATTTCTTATTTATTTCTTATATTTAGATTATTATATACATATATAATTTTTTAATTTAATTATTATGTCACCAGTTTGACCATTGGTCTAACTCAGTTGAACCATGCAAACTATAAACTGCTGGCTTTTTCAGTTCAATATCCAACTTAGTTTTAAAAACATTAGATGGCACTGAAAGGGTTAAGCCCTATATTTTGTTAAACCTAACTTATATGTTAGGCTTAAGAAGCAAAAATACCTTAAAAGTTTACTGAAAGAAGCAATTGGTATCCTTAGCTTTTAGCATGAGCAATGTTTTTGGAAATGTTAAAGTAAAGCAATCTCGCCCTACACCATTAGAGGATAAGACAGACATCTTCCATTTGTCACAGGATCCATTTTAAATGACACATAAGTCTAATAGAATGTGGCATAGTGTTTACCATCAGCTTTTTCTTCTTTCCCATAGAAAACCTTAAAGATGAAAGGACCATCTAAAAAGAACTCTCCTTTCCCATTTTGCTAGTAGATAGAGTTATTAAAGCTGCCCAAAAGGTCGAATCCTTAAAGATAGATTGCTCCAAACTCATTAAGCAAGTAGAACACCTCTCTACCATGCTTTAGTCCATCATCTGACTTGCCCTTATTATTCCCTCTCTCCATAAGCAACTCGTTCATCGAATTGTCACTAAAGTCTCCAAGAACCTCAAACAAACCCTAACCCTTGCTTGCAAGCGTAAGAAACACAGTAGCGTAAGAAACACAGTAAGGATCTTCATCACTTCTTCTATATCACCTTTACCGCTAACTTCCAAGAGGTTTTAAACCTTCTCGAATATTTTATTAATAACATGAAGTGGCTTCTTAGCATCTTTGATTTAGACGACAATACTAAATTGACTCTCCCTTCGATTGCTAGCAACAACCATATTCTTGCCTGGGTTAGTCCTTCACAACCATAATTCAAATGGGTTAGCTCAAGGACTAAATTGAGATGACTAACGAGCTTGCTTCAATCACTAAAGACAATGAACACAACAAGCTTATTATTATGGAATAAAGTGGGATTCTTCCTTTGTTGAAGTAATTGAAGGAGTTTGCTTCCCTCGATGCTTAACTTGCTACTGCTAATGCTTTGGTCAATATCTTTATTGACCAGGAAAGGGTTGATTTTAAGACATCAAAGCTTGAGAAGAAGGTTGAGGTGGTGTTTACAGAGGTGGTGAAGGAAACAATGATGCTAGAGTACTCTCCAGTTCTTAGAGTAAAGAAGGGGAGAGGAGAAGGCTGTGTTGTGCCAGTAGAACTTAAAGCATATAGCCTTCCTGGTGCTTAAAGTGAATCATGATTACCATGTTGCTTGCCAGCTATATCATCTTTAAAGCTTATCAAAATTCTATTAGTCAACAGAACTAGAGGTAAGAAAAGAGTAACATTGCTCTACTTTTAACAATTTCAGGGGAACATTATTACTCCTTTTAAAATGGTGAGGATACCAATTGTTCCTTTTAGAAAAATTTTAAGGTATTTTTTCCCCTTAATCCTATATTTTAATGAAATATGATTTGATTTGGTACAATAGTATTTTGCTTGTTAGTTATTTCATTTGGGATTTAACTACCCTAAGCTCATTTACTATGGAAATGGTTGGAATCTCAACTGGTTTAATACTGTATAATGTTATGTTATTGGTGTCTTGAATCGGAGACCTATGTAGGCCAAGGCTTCTACTATAGATTGGCAAACATATATAGTGGTCACATGTGTCACTTCTATCTTAAATTTTGATCTTGAGGCATTAAGTCTTAATCTAACTCAAAATCTTCTTTTAATTTTTGGTCACTCTACTTATTTGAATCTTGATAACATAAAAACATGACACCAATTGAAAGTTTATAGTATCAATTTCTTATTCAAACAAACTTCCGATGCAAAACTATCTTTCCTTTTTTAATTCTAAAAATTGTTCAATTAATTAACCATCAAGGTTACTCAAATGTTTTTAGAGTTCATTGCACAATTTTTGAAATTTTTTCAGGGGAATATTTTACCAATCAAAATATGAAAAAATTAATTGCACTTAGCTAAAAACTTTTCTAGGCAACTTTGCATCTCTAACCCAATTATTATTTAAAAAATTGTTTAACAAATTCAATTCATAAAAATGGGTTAAAGGTATTTTGTCCATAAACTATTTGCATAAAAGCATCTGATATCCTATTTTTTATATAATATTCCATTTAACATTTAAAAATGATGCAATATCACTTTTATAATCAATAATGTTAACTTTAATTTAATCATTAATTGACTAAAAAAAATACAAAAAAGGACTTCAAAACGACCTAGAAAATTACAACTTTAACCATTTTTGAACACACTAGTTAAGCAAGATGACTTGTAAATTTTGGAGGAAGATTTATATACTATAATAATATTTAGATTATTAAATATTAATAGTATCAATGTTTTAATAAGATAGTATTAAAACAAGGGTAAAAGAGCAATATACCTCTTAAACAATAGGTTGAGTAACATCAGAGATCCTAACCTCATTTATTATACTATTTATTTTCTCTACTTTAGAATTCATAATAACCTCCCCTTGATGTTAAGTAGAGGAAAACAGTGGTTACTTTATGGCGGTGGGAGCCTATTGGCTTGTCCACATATCAAGTACAAATGAGTGTCATATGTTTGAACCAGTGGCCTTCACCACTATAATGTAACGGCTATTATCATCTATTAAATATTAGGAGGAGGTTATTATAAATTTAAAAGTTAAGTAAAAAAATTGTATACTAAATGAGTTTAGTATTTCTAATGGTACTTGACCTATAGTTTAAGGGATATATTGTTCTTTTACCCTTAAAACAAAAATATTAGTTTTAAATTACTTATTGGTATTGTTGTCAATAATGGAGATCCAATAATAGTTGATTAAAATGGTGGGTCGAAATAGCATTTTAGTCTTTTACATGGATAAAAAATGATATTTTTTTTCTTGGTATTTATTTATCATGAGATGCAAAACCAAGATTAGAAATAGTTTTCTAAAAACCACTTTAGTGAGCACCATAATGGATTGGTCTCAAGATGTGTGAATGTTTTATATATTATTTATTTTATAATAAAATATTATTATTAATATTGTTAACTTTTTAAAATTCACTTGCTTTTATTTGATTTGATAAAAAATATATTAAATATATAAGATTAAGATTAATATCATTTATCCTTTTAAATTTTATTTATTTTTTATTTATCATTTTAATGACATTTTCTTTTCTTAAATAATAAATTTAAGCAGTAATTATGAAAATCATTAAGGGTCTGTTTGATTTCTGTTCTCATTTTTTATTTTTAAAAATTATTTTATAATATTTGACCAAAAAATTATTTTATAATGCAGTTCTTAAAATTATTTTTTAAAACAAAATAAAAAAAGTATATATAATTATGTTAATTAAAAATATTTTAAAATTTAAAAAATAGACTGATAATTATAATTGTAAGCGATTAATGAAAATGGTTTATGATAAAAATTAATCAAGTTAATTATATTTTTCAATAATTAAATATAGGGTGTTTTGAAAATTAAAAAATAAAATAAAAAAAAGCTTAAGTCATTTCTATTTTTTATTTTTTAAAAAATTAGAATAATTTTGAAAATAATTAAATCTACAAAATTTATCGAAATGAATTTTTTAATTTTTTAATTTTTAAAAACAGAAAAAAAAATTTAGAAATCGAAACCAAACAGCCCTGAATCTTTTTCATATGTTTGACGGAACCTTCTTTAGCTCCGATTCTAAAGCTGGCAGCCGGAAGTCCGTCGGTGTCTTTTGGTGTCGTTTTCCCGAGAAAGGAAAAGCGTCGGTTTCAATGTCTTCTTTCTTCAGGGTCCTCACTGGGGATTATAATGCTAAATGGTAATTTTCTTTCTTCTTTCTTTTCTTCCTTATTCACTGGCATTTGCTGATTTCAACAGTTGAACTCTCTCTAAATCCTTGAGTGATTCTTTGAAATCTGAGAATCTAAGCCAATTCTTTTCTCGGAAATGAAGTAGCAAAGGACCCGCTTAGTTTTGCAGAGAAGTTTCTCTCGGAAGGAAGAAATGTATGTTTACCGTCCTAATCTCAGAATGTGAATGTTCCGTAGCAATGCACCAGATATGGGTCTTCTTCTCTGTTCGCCCAATTTTCATTCTATTTTTTACATGCAAGCTTTCTAAGTACAGAGAATTCGACTCTACTGTTTTCTGTTTTCTTTCTTATTCTTAGATAGAAATGTTTCCTTGTGTTCCTCTTGATAATAACAGAGGATCACTTTGAAGCATGGTGTCCCAATTTTTATTTCTTTATTATTTTTTTTAACATTCAACAGTTTTTTGAAGAATACAATGTGGATAATTGAAGACCTTAATTCCTTGTGTTCCAATTTATTTTTAATTTCATTTTAAAGTATTTCTCTCCTTCAAAAGGAATTAGCATAGGATCCGCTTGTTTTCTTCAGAAATGCATGTTGAAAAAGGAAGATAACCGTATTTATAGTGCTAATTTCAAAATTTCCAGTATTAATGCACCAGATATGGGTGTTCTCTATTCGCCCAATTTTATGTTTTCTTTTCTAAATGCAAAATTTTTAAATACAGATAATTCAAATCTGCTAATGCAGCAAATCCCTACTCTGGTTGTCTCCAGATATTGTCCTATTTTACCGAAAAGAGCAACACTTGTTAGAACTTCTTCGAAGAACAGATCATGGGAGGTTGATATTGAGGAAGAAGATGACAAAAGATTCTATCTCAAAAATGGTTGGAATACATTTGTAGAAGATAATGATTTGGAAACTGCTGAGTTTCTGGTTTTCAAATTCGATGGTAATTCAACATTTAAGGTTAAGATCTATGGAAACTCTGCCTGCGAGAAGGAGCTTGAGAATCAGTTTTGTATCAATCAGAATTACTACATACAGTATCATGAACATAACAAAACTCAAGATAATCAAGAAACTTTGAAAGAAAAAGATCCAATAGATGTAGATCTACAAAACCATGATGATGATGATTGTAATCCTAACCATGAAACGTGGGCATCCCAGAAAGAGGTTGGAGAAGAACAGAGTAATTATGAGCTTATTGCTATTCAACCTGAATCTCAAGATCCTATCGAGTAAATCAGTAAGCAATTAAAAAGCTAGCCTTCTATTGATAATTTTGGTTTTTGTCACATTTTATAACTCTGAATCAAGTCTGATTAACATAGTTAGTGAGTATAGAAATTATATCTCAACGTATGTTAGACTTAAAACAAGTTCCTTTCCTGTTCAAATAATGGTGGAAAATTTGTGTTATGACCGTTATGAAATCAGGCTTTTGTCTATTTTTCATCTCATTTATTATATATTCTAAGATTTGAGCTCACATTTTGATTAACTAGGGGATTGCAGCAGGTATGAGGGAACAATTGTGGAAGCATTCAGTGAAGGCCCCAACTTGGACTGTAATGAGAATCCTTCATTCAAAATTATTCTGCAACAAGCCTATGCCAAAAAAGGTGTCATGGTTAGTTCTTGAGATCACTCAAATATTTAGTTCATAGAGGAAGCAATGAAGTATAAGAAATGAAATTGACATGGTTAAACTAGTCATGAAGTCTTATATTGATTATCAATTTGACGTCATGTTGCTTCTTCTAAAGTTCCATGTTTTTTTAGCTCATGTATAATTTCCATGGGGTATGATAGTGCAGTAATTTATGTGTGTTAAATCTGTTAAAGGGATATTCAGATTAATAAGATTCAGGAACTTTGTGCAGTGCTTTCCAACAGAGTTCTTCAAGAAGCATGTGAAAAACAAGAGAGAAGGGGTAGAGATTGAGATAATAGGATAAAAACAGAGGGGTGTAAATTAGTTAAAAGTGCCTTATAATAATAAACTGCGGGAGTATACTAATTATGAATATGATGCCTTGTTTTTTATATCACGTGCATATCATACAAAATATGGTTTCATGTTTTCAGTTCATACTTAGTCTCCATGGTGTACTATGTATGTTAAGGTTATTAAAGTGATATTCTGATTAATATGTTTGAGAAACTTGTGCAGTGCTTTCCAACCGACTTCTTCAAGAAGCATATGAAAAACAAAAGACAAGAGGTAGAGATTGAGATAGTAGAAGGAGTATGGACTGTGACATTAATCCCCCATAAGAAAAGGGCTAGGACATTCGCCAGATTCAGTGAAGGGTGGTCAAATTTTGCCAAAGCGAACCATTTTAAAACCGGAGAGACTCATTTTTTAAATGATTCGGAAAGGTAATTGTCCCAAGTTCTTTGTTGATAGGCAATGATGTGCAGAAGTAAGAGTCAGTGGACCACCTGTATATATAGGTCATGTAGATGGTATAGTTAATTCAGAAAAAAACTATGTTTGAATGTGCATGCAAGCTTCAAGTGCAGGACTTCATGATAGGCAATGGTTTCCTATCCAATAAATGTAAGTGAAAATTGTTCATGATATGTCTTGTAAATGGTGGAACTAATTAGGAGATCACGCAAATGAGCTTTGACGATATCATAACTTTTGCAAAATCAAGGAAACATTTGTTACTCCCTCTGATTCTCTCTGCAATGCATATAGACTGAGAAATTTAATTAACATAATAAAATTTCTTCTAACTTTTTAAATATTCCCTCTAGTCTATAATATATGATATTTTTTAGAAGCCATACTTAATTCAAAGCAGTTTTATAATTTTTTTCTTCAATTACACCCTTATTTCATTTGTTGTTTTTCAAAAAATAATTAATTGAAATTTCAATTGTCATTTTTAGATATTTATATAATGCGTTAAATGAGGTATCATTTGAAAAATGTATAACTTTTTAAGAGAGTAAAGTTTCAACTAAATTTTATAATTATAACAAAATGAAGATGTCAATTCATTTTACTCAAATATAATTTATTTTATGGAAAATATATATATCCTTACAATTTCATTCAATTTTAAATTAGATCCTTACAATTTATTTTTTAATTAAAATTTTATAGTTTAATCAATTAAATTTTTAAAATTTTTCTTTTAAAAAACATAATAAATAAATGTTTTATTTTTATTAAATAATTATATAACTTTAGAATTGATTACATAATTTTTATAACTCAAAATTTATATAATTACACTGTCTTAAATATATTTTTTAGGAAAAATTACATATAAATCTTATGGAACAAACTTATTTACAAATAAGTCTCATAAAATTTAGAAACCACAATTAAATCCCTTAAGACTTAAGTGTTATTTAAAATTGGGATAAAAAAATAACATTACATCATTAAATAATTTACAACTACTTCATTAATATTTTACAATTGTAACTTTATATATCCAATAGTTAAACTGATCAGTTTAACCATTGAATACGTAAAGTCACAGCTATAAAAAATTAAAATTATATATATAAATTGCTGATAAAGTAGTTATAAATAATTAATATTAAACTTTATTAATAACACATAATTGTTTAATTATTGAAAATGTGAAATTATAGTTATAAAAAATTAAAATTAAAATTATAAATTACTAATAAAGTAGTTATAAATTAATTATTTAATTGATGAAATATATGTTTAATAGATGTATTATTTTCTTTTCAACCTAATTTTAAATTACACTCACATCCTAAGAAACCTAACTATAGTTTTTGAATTTCATGGGACTTATTGATAAATAAATTTATTTCACAGGAGCTATACGTAATTTTTCATTTTTATACATATATAATTTTAATAAGAAATTAATAAAAATGTAAGCAGTGTACTAAATCATTTTTTTTAATTTTGGCTAACAATATTAAATTAAATTTTCTATAAATTCCAAGAGTATTTTTTATTTATAAAATTTAATAATTCATTATTATTTTTAACTTTTTAAGAGTTAACATGTATAAGAGTTTACTGGCAAAAAAAAACCATATAAGTTTGATTAGAACAAAATAAACTATAGAGATTCAATTTAAAATTGAGTTAACCTTATGCAAATTAATTTTTCCCAATAAAAAAGGTCCCACACTTTTTCAAATAAAGAAGAGGTATATTACACTTAAGGGCCTAGCATTTTATTAATATCCATACAAGCCTCTATCCAATGTGGGCTTGGACTTTGGGCTACAGCTTGATCCACGAAGATTGAGTTTGCTAAACCCAACAAAAATAGGCAAAACTGTCCCAAACAATTCCAAAGTCTTTTTTTATTAAAAAAAAAATCCAAAGTCATTGCATGATTCACCTAGTCTATCAAAAAATGAAAATAAGGTAACAGTAATTATATTATACTACATTACATTCCTTTAAGTCCTTTTCCTTGTAAATAACCAAAGACTTGGTTTGTAGTATTTTGGAACTGGCGGACTCCACTGATCCAGGTAAAATACTTGGGCATTTATAGTGTATGGAAAAAAACTAAGTATCAAGCTTTCGCATATGTTCGAGAGAAAATGTGTAATAGGGTTTAGGTTGGAGAAAGAAATTATTATCTCAAGCTGGGAGGGAAGTAATGATCAAAGCAATCATGAATGCTATTCCTACTTTTACTATGCTATGATTTAATTCCCAATCAACACCTGTGAAGAATTTGATAGTCTTTTATCTAATTTTTGATGGAACGGCAGTTCAACAAATCGTAAATTGCATTGGATATCATGGCAGAACCTCAAGAGACCTAAGGAAGAAGGAGGGATGGGCTTCAAAGACTTTGTCAACTTCAATTATGCACTTCTTCCCATAACAGCCTGGAGATTTGTGAATAATTGTGACGATCTGTGGGCTTGGTACTCAAAGGCATTTATTTACCTTATTCTCATTTCTTAGAAGCTAAAAAAGGTGCTAAAGCTTCATGGTGCTGGACAAGCATTCTAGAGCGTCGAGAATTTCTCAATGAAAATCTTTTCTAGCATATAGGGAATGGCTCATCTGTGCGCATCTAGCAAGATAGGTGGATTCCCTCCTTAACGAACTAAAAATTATATACTGAGGATCGAGTGCTGAAGAAATCTATTACTACAGCGGCTACTCTAATAGAAAATGGACAATGGAATTTAAGAGGTATTTCTTATCTCATTAGCGAAGAGGCAACTAATGCCATTGTCGCCTTACCTCTTTCTGTGGTTAATATTCAAAACCGAGTATACTAGAGGCCTGCAAGCAATGGCATCTATAATGTGAAATTGGGCTATCCAACAGCAATGAGGGTGCAGAATGTCACGTGAACAGCAGCAAGCTCATCCTCACTTATTCCTAGAGGTACTTGGAAGACACTATGGAAGGTGAAGACGATAACTCGCATCATCAATTTCATATAGTGTTGCCTCTCCAATTCTCTTGCAACAAATGAAGCCATGGTAAGAAGATATCAAGGTCAGTCTAATTTGATGGTGACATCGAAATCATTGAGCACTTATTTTTTCAATGTCCATGGACCCGTTGTGTATGGTTTGGAAGTAATTTGCCTCTGCACTGCACTACTTTTCGCAGTACTAATTTCAGTCAGTGGTGGTCCTCTATATCTTCTCTAAATAATGGCATCACTGAATTTGATCTTGCTAAGATTTGTTGGTTGCTGTGGTTGATGTGGAAAGCTAGAAATGATGAGATTTTAAACCTTCTTGAACCAAATCCTAGCACTGTTATGGGCTAGACGTGCAGTTTTGGAATTTTGGGAGTCAAGGGTTAGTGTGCAGAACAATGTCCCTGAAGCTAACAGTAGCACAAGAGAGCCTCACTGGTCCATCCCTCCCAGTCTCCCACTGATTGTTTGAAAACAAATCAAAATTCTGTTGCAATTGGCTTGGTCCGTAAAGATGCTGCTGGTATTTTTTTATGGGCTTTTGCTGATGAGGTTAAGTCTCTCTTGGCATTCATGAGTGAGGCATTAGGCTTAAAAGGGGCACTTTTACTAGCTTGAGATCTAAGTTATGAAAAGGTAATTTTTTTTTTAATACAAGGCCACGGTAAAAATACCGTGTAAAAGGATCAAAATCAGATCATGTCAGAAGTTAAAATGCTTCTACAATCTATGGGAGCATCATCAAATAAAGTAGTATCAAAATGATTGCTGGAGGCCTTGTGAACTAAAAGATCAACACAGGGGTTTACTTCTCTATAAACATGTTCCAGATTAATCTCTCAACTCCTCATAATGAGATTTTTGATACTTTTGATGATTGTTGAAAGTGGATGACTCAGGATTAAGTTGCCATTAATGATAAGGTAGATTTTAACTCCGCCTATGTTTATAGCCGGTTCCAAGGCCGGATAAAGGAGGAGAGTTGTGTTAGGCCATCAATAGCCAATGTAAAACTTTGTTGAATCTATCATGAACATGAACAATAGACGTTATAATGTTAATGCTAGGTCGTTGCCTGTAAGTAACGCACTGCATGGCTCGAGTACAGTGATAAGTGAGTTAGAGCCGCTGCATCGGCGCCCGGATGTAGTGTTAAATGAGTAAGGGCTACCGCGTCATTCTGGACGCACGCGGCTAAAGAAGTTAGTCCATGAGAGCAAAATTAGATTTGGTACTTGGAATGTTAGGACATTGAATTGTAAATCTGTAGAGGTTGTAGGGGTTATGATTCAAAGAAAAATGAATATCCTTTGCCTGCAAGAAACAAAATGGTGTGGAGAAGAAGCTAAGGATATTCAAGATTTCAAACTTTGGTATACAGGAAAAGTAAGTGCATGCAATGGAGTAAGCATTATTATAGATAAGGAGTGGAAAAAGAACGTTGTAGAAGTTAGCAGAATTGGAGACAGAATTATTTCCTTAAAAATGATAATTGAACGTGAGACTGTTAATATTGTTAGCGCTTATGCGCTGCAAGTCGGGACAGAAGCCAGTCTTAAGGAATTATTTTGGGAGAATCTGGAGGGGTTGATTCGACACATACCATAGAGTGAAAAGATTTTTATTGGAGGAGACTTTAATGGGCATGTCGGGAGGGAAGCTGGTCAGTATGCGAGGGTGCATGGTGGTTTTGGTTTTGGAGAGCTAAACAATGAAGGACACACTCTTCTTGATTTCCCATTAGCGTATGATTTTAAGATTGCCAACACTTGTTTCAAGAAGAGAGATGAGCATCTCATCACTTACAAAAGTGGAGCCTCAAGGTCACAGATTGATTTTCTTTTGGTTAGGAACATAGATAGAAGACTTTGTAAAAATTGCAAGGTGATCCCCGGAAATGCTGTAACGACACAACATAGGATCCTAGTCCTTGATGTGTGTATTATGAGTAAAATCCAAAAACGTCGATAAATAGTAGCACCAAGGATTAGGTGGTGGCAATTAAAAGGTGAGAAGCAAGATATTTTCAAGCGAAATCTTTTGGATAAAGGAATTTAGGAATCTCAGGGAAATGCTAACATCATGTGAGAGGATATGGCTAAAAAGATACGGGAGGTTGCAAAAGTAGTTTTAGGAGAATCAAAAGGTTCTGGTCCGAGAGATAAGGAGTCTTGGTGGTGGAATAATAGTGTACAGGATAAAATCAAGTATAAGAAGAACTATTTTAAAGCCATACATTTGTGTAACAATGAGGAAAATTGGGAGAGGTACTGCATGGCTAAGAAGGAAACTAAGAGAGCTGTGGGTGAAGCTCGTTTTAAAGCTTTTGAAGAATTTTAAAAGAGCCTTGAGACGAAGGAAGGAGAGCGAAATATTTATAAGATTGCGAAGAGTAGGGAAAGAAAATCAAGAGATCTAGAATAGGTAAGGTGTATTAAGGATGAAGAGGGAAGAACTTTAGTTACAGATAATGAAATTAAAAATAGATGGGAGACTTACTTTTCTAAACTTTTCAATGATGAAGAGGGTTCATCTAGTAACTTGGAGGATTTAGTAACTGGTGAAGGAGAACAAAATTTGTCATTCTATCGAATAATACGTGATAAGGAGGTAAAGGAAGCTCTTAAGAAAATGGCAAATGGTAGAGCCAACGGACCTGATTATATATCTATCGAAGCGTGGAAATGTTTAGGTGAAGAAGGGGTGAGATGGTTAACTAAGTTATTTAATGTGATTTTACGGTCCAAGAAAATGCCTGATGAGTGGAGGAGAAGTACATTAATTCCTATTTATAAAAATAATGGATATATTCAAAATTGTACTAACTATAGAGGGATTAAACTCATGAGCCACACAATGAAATTGTGGAAGAAAGTAATTGAGCACAAGTTGAGATTGGAGACAAGTATTTCTGAGAATCAGTTTGGTTTTATGCCAGGTAGATCAACTACAGAGGCAATTTATCTACTAAGGGGATTAATAGAAAAGTATCGTTGTAAAGATAAAGATCTATATATGGTTTTTATTGATTTGGAAAAAGCTTATGACCGTATACCAAGAGAAATGCTTTGGAAAACGTAAGAAAAAAAGGGAGTACGGATTACTTATATTAAAGCCCTACAAGATATGTATGAGGGGGTAAAAACTAGTATAAGAACGCCTAGTGGTCAAACAAAGGATTTTCCTATAAAGATTGGACTACATCAGGGATCATCTCTAAGTCCTTATTTATTCAACTTGATCTTAAATGTTTTGACGGAACATATTCAAGGGGAAATTCCAAAATGTATGCTCTTCGCAGATGATATAGTTTTTATAGCAGAGACAAGAGAAGAGGTTAATTGCAAACTTGAGTTATGGAAGAGGACATTGGAGTCGAAAGGTTTTCGTCTGAGTAGAAGTAAGATGGAATATTTATATTGTAAATTTGGTAAAGGACTATTTAACAATAATTTGGAAGTGAAATTGGGAGATCAAATTATACCTCAAGTGGAAAAGTTTAGATATTTGGGAGCCATTATTCAAAATGATGGTGAAATCAGTAGAGATATTTCACATAGAATTCAAGCTGGATGGTTTAATTGGAAAAAAGTTAAAGGAGTTATTTGCGATGGTAAGGTGCCTGATAAACTTAAAGGAAAGTTTTATCGCACTGCTATCAGACTGGCAATGTTATATAGTAGTGAATGCTGGGCTCTAATGGGACAGCAAGAGCATAAAATTGGAGTAGCAGAGATGACAATGTTACGATGGATGTGCGGACATACACGTAAAGATAAAATTCGAAATGAGCACGTACGTAAAAAAGTGAGGGTGGCACCTATTGAGGAAAAAATGGCAGAAAATCGGTTGAGATGGTTTGGGCATGTACAAAGAAGACCAAGGAAGGCACCAGTGAGAAGAGTGGAACATATAACTTTGAGTCCGATTAAGAGAGGTAGAGGAAGGCCTAAGAGAACACTCTTAGAAGTTATTGAACGCGATTTCTTAATTAATAATATTCCTAAAAGCTTGATAAATGATAAAATACAATGGCGTCTTGCAATCCATGTAGCCGACCCCACCTAGTAGGATAAAGGCTTGTTGTTGTTGTTGTTGTTGTTGTTGTTGTTGTAATGATAAGGTAGATTTTGAAAGTGATTCATGCTTGTTAACAGCATTACTAAAAGTCAAACTGATTTTGGTGATTGGAGAGTATAAGTGTTGTGGAAGATATCTTAGAACTTATGGCATCAACAGCTGGGTTCTCTCTTTCCTTTGTGCCCCACAAAGGTAACAGGGCAGCTAACTTCATGGCTGCTTCTGCTTTGCTGTTAAGATATTGCCAACACCATCATCTCCTTTGTCTTCTTGCTAGCTGTGGAGGTTCAGAGTTCTGATTCAGCTTTTGTTCATGGTGGAGCTCATCAAGACCAAGATGGTGTTGGCTAATCCTTTATGCTGCTGCTGTTGCTGATTCATTTCTTTGTTTTGTCATTTATTTCTATCTTTCCTTTCTGTAGTTTTCTGTTCGTTTCCTTTGAAAGTTTGCTTTTTTGGCTTTCTTTTGACTCGCAGAAATGTTGTTGGTGTTTCTTTTGTTTCGAATAGAAATTCCCATTGGCCAAATAAATAAATAACCAAACAGCCCTTTAATTTCTTTTAGGATTAAGAAAAATATTGAGTAACCTTTGAGAAAATTTAAGAGATAGCACCTTCTAGTCTTATTTGTAAATTATTTTAAACATGTTTTATTGAAATTAAAAATAGTATTAAAATTTATTAACCTTATCTAAATATTTAATAGGCTTTCAACTTCATTCCAATTAAATATACATAATTTAATAATCAGTTTTTCTCATTAATATTTAATAGAAGTAAAAAGAAAAACTTTAAATAAAAATTTAATGATATAACTTATAAAAAAATAAGAAAATAGTTATCACTGCATATAAATAAGACATATACAGGGAGTACCCCTTAAATGAGATAAACCGTCAAGCAAGTTAACGTTTAAGCCTTTGAGACATATTTAATTTAATGTCTATTGATTCTAAACATGTCTCTTATTCTTTGGCCAATGATTCTAAACACGTCCAATCAAAATATTAATTAATTAATTAATTAACCCAAATAGATTTTTTTTCCCCTCCAACAAATCCAAATGTGTTCGTGATGGAGTATACCAAAAAATGAGCAGTGAATCTTTTGGTGGTCCTGAAGTATTCAATAATCAATGCGCTTTATTGTACCCATTGCAAAACTAACAGATTCGGATAATATGAATAATATTATATCGCCTTCTTATTTAAGTGCAGTTCTTGTTTTTTAACCATCCTTGTTTAAGTACTATAAATCTCTCTTTGTCGGCTCAAAAAACAAGACTCTAAGTCTCAAGTCCTTAAATATTAATAAATGCGTGTTGAATCATGAAGAGAATAAATTAGTGTTTAAATCTTTCTTAAAAAAAAAAAAAAGGGTCATGTAGGCAATAGCAGATGCAATTACTAGAAGATGAAATTTTTAAAAATTTACCTCTATTATTTTAAGAGTTTTGAACTCACTAGATCGAAGCTAAAATATGAGTTTAAAAAATAAATTGATATTTTTATATTTCCTTTAAATTCAATATATATTAAATTTTGAATACATTATATTTAAATTTATATTTTTTATAAAAATATTATTTTAATTTCCTTTTCTAATATTATTTTTAAAAACTAATATTTATTTTATATATATTAAATTATTTTTTATTTTTATATAATTATGCCCCACTGCTTTAGGGTCCTCGTCATTGTAAGGAGGGATGTGCTTTGTTTTGGAACAAATGAAAAATTAAGAAATTAAATTGAAAAAAATATGGAAAATAAGTAATGTTTTTAAAACTCAACAATTAGTAATTAAATATTACTGTTTACTATATTTATATTATTTATTGCATGTATCCAATTTGAATTATGTAGCAAACCACCAATTTATCAATATCAATATTAGTATAATTCAAATACAGGTTGTACTGTTTATCAATTATGAAAAGTGCAATTTATCTCTTAAATTTTGTATAATACATAAAATCCATTTACTTAAGTTTTCTACAACTTGCGATGTTCATCTATTGAATTAAATTAAATTGAATTTAAAGAATGAGTCATATTGAGATGGGTTATATTATCTTAATTACGAGTAAATGGTTCTGTTATTTTTAAATAGATTTATATTATTGCCATTGAAAATAATAATTAATGGAGGGTAAAGGATATTGATTGAAACTTACTTAAAATAAGAAATAAACAGCGATAAATAAATATATAAATCTTTTTGAGTGTCTTGAAGACTTGAACCAACGATCACGGTTAAACCCGTACCTGCGATCAGCTCTGCTTCTTTACCGGCCTGATTCCTTCCTTCTCACTGGAGTTCTTATTGGATTCCGATTTATGCTTTGACAGAAATTTCTTGTTCCCCATAACAGAAGACTTCGTCAACGTCAATGTCTTCTTTCTTCAGAGTCCTCATCGACGAGTACGCTACTAAATTGGTAATTTTCTTTCTTCTGATTGATTTCCTTCTTCGTCCTCAACTTCTCGTCCTCGTTTATGCATGTGTTTGCGTTCTCTGTTATCAGCGCCTGTAATCCCTGCCGTCGGCTCTGATCCGACGTCTCTGGTAGCTTCGTTCGGTTTCTAGTTTTGTTCAGTTGGTTGATGATGGATTGATTTTGTTTATCCCCCTTCTCAGCTTCGTTCGGCCAATTAGATCTCCATTGTGCTTTTCTTTTTCTAATTTTTGGGTATCGATTTGCCATTGCATCAATCAATCCTGGAAATTTTTGCATGCTGGTGTTTTTGTGCTGTGTTTGTGTTTGTGTTTGTAATCTGTGGGTGATTGTGAAGTGTATAATTCTGTTGTGTCCTCAAGGACGATGGTGGCGGAGGGGGCAAATTTTCCAGGATCAATGTGTCATTTTACTTTTATTTTTATTTGTTTTCTAATAAAAAATCAATTGCATTCCAAATGTGTCATTTTACTTTTACTTTTATTTGTTTTCTAATAGATATCTATATCTTGACCTTTAGAAATGATTTTTGATATTTTAAAAAAATAAAAAAATATGAAATCTCAGAATTTAAAGCGATTATATTCTCCCGAAAACTTTCTTTTTGTTTATTGTCAGAATATGAATGTGTACTCATGCTACACCAGATATGGGTGTGGGGTTTTTTTTCTTCTTTTTTAAATGCTAACTCTATAAATACAGAGAATTCAATTCAAATATAATAATTTCTTTTTCTTTTTTTGGCAGCGAATCCCTTCCCTGTTTGTCTCCAGATTTTCTTGTCTTACACCAAAAACAGTAACACTTGTATGTTCTTCAAAAAGATCATGGAAGGTTGATATCGAGGAAGGAGATCACAAAGAATTGTACTTCAAAAGAGGTTGGAATACATTTGTAGAAGATAATGCTTTAGAAACTGGGGAGTTTGTAGTTTTCAAATTCGATGGGAATTCAATATTTAAAGCTAACATATTTGGAAAATCTTACCTCAGAAGAAAAGCCCCAATGTCAATGCCTTCTTTCTTCAAGGTCCTCGTTGACAGCAAGTACACTACTAAATTGGTAATTTTCTTTCTTCTTCATTGGCGTTTGCTTATTTCAACAGCTGAAATCTCTCTAAATCGCTTTTCTTTTCTTTTCTTCTTTCTTTTTTTCTTTTCTTAATTGCAGCGAATCCCTTTGTTGTTTCTCTCCAAATATTCTACTCTTGTCCCAAAAAGAGTAACACTGATCAGGGCTTCTTCAAACAGATCATGGAAGGTTGATATTGAGGAAGAAGATGACAAAAGGTTGTATTATAAGAATGGTTGGAGTACATTTGTAGAAGATAATGCTTTGGAAATTGCACAGTTTCTAGTTTTCAAATTTGATGGGGATTCAACATTTAAAGTTAAGATCTATGGGAACTCTGCCTGTGAGAAGGAGCTTGAGAATCAGCCATGTATAAATCAAAATTACTGCATACAGCATTATAAACAAACAACAACTCGACTTCATCAAGAAACTCAGAGAGAAATAGATCCAATTCATGTAGATAGACAAAAGTCAGGGCTGAATGTTGAGATCACAGAGGAGAGAGTAGATCATGATGATTATCACAATTCTAACCAGGGAACTGGGGCTCCCCAGAAAGAAGTTGAAGAAGAACAAAGCAATGGGCATATTGCTTTGCAGGGTGAATCTCAGAGAGAACAAAGCAATGAGCATATTGCTTTACAACATGAATCTCATAGCCCTATCAGGAATAGTGGTAAGCTAATGAAAATATAGCTCTCCATTGATAATCCTGGTCAAAATTTTATTTTATTACTCTGAGCTTATGCCTAATTACAGAATCAGTGAGTAAAAATTATGTAGCAACAAGTTTTTTAGCCAATTATAGAGTCGGACTTTTGTTTATTTCCATTTAATTTAGCATATAGGCTAAGATTTGAGCTCACATTTTGATTAATTAGGGAACGGAAGCACGTGTGAGGGACCAATGCTGAAGGAATCCAGTGAAGCCCCCAAATTGAGCCCTAAGAAAATTCCTTCATTCAAAATTCTTCTGCAGCAAGCCTATGCAGAAAAGGGTGTCATGGTTAGTTCTTCATATCACTTGATTTATTTTCTTAGATGCTATCCTAGGAAGAAAGAGCAGTGATGATTAAATGCATTTATCATACTAGAGGAATCAATGATGAGGGAGAAAGAGAAGCCTTGAGCCACACCAACAGATAGGTCTTGCTCTTTTTTACTCCATTCTCATTGCGTCTTTTAGTGACTAGAAGCAATCCAGGCATGTATTCAAGTTAAAGAGAAATAAAATTGATATGGTCAACCTTCTTGTTGTTTTATTGTATCTTATTTCCTCCGTTCAATGTCATAAGAGTACACTTTTGTTTTTTGAAATATTATATTAAAAAAGATAAGACACTTTGGATCTTTCAAAATATAATTAATACGGTCTTTTCAAAAAGGACCCTTAATGACAAGTGTAATTAATAAAATTTTCTAATTGAAACAACCTATTAAAAGGGATCAATATCTAGGGGTGTAAATTAGTTAAAAGTGTCTTATAATAATGAACAAAAGAAGTATACTGATTATGAATATGATGCCTTGTTTCTCATGTGACATGCATATCAAACAAAATATGGTTCATGTTTTTAGTTCATACTAAGTTTCCATGGTGTACTATGTATGTTAAGGTTATTCTAAGTGATACTCAGATTAATTTGTTTGAGGAACTTGTGCAGTGCTTTCCCACAGAGTTCTTCAAGAAGCATATGAAAAACAAGAGACAAGAGGTGGAGATCGAGACAATAGATGGAGTATGGAAAGTGACATTACTCCCTCACATGAAAAGGACAAGGACATTTGCCAGATTCAGTAAAGGGTGGTCAGAATTTGCCAAAGCAAATCATTTTAAAACTGGTGAGACTCTCATTTTTAAAATGGTTCGGAGAGGTGAATGTCCCAAATTTATTGTTGATAGACAATGATGTAAGAGTATAAAGTGTTAGTGGTGTACCAGGCTGTAAATTTCAGGAAATGTATTTAAAACATTATCTCGATAGGTCATGTAAGTGGTAGAATTAATTAAGAGGGACATGCTAAGGATCTTTCACTTGCCATTTTATCAACCTCGATAGAATGGATTTGTAATAATAAAGCATCTTTTTATGTATGATCTGAAATGTAGATGGAATTTTCTTTTTCTTTGTCTTTTAGGCCATTATATGTGTATTTTTTCTGATGTAACTTTATGTGATGGGCTTTCGCTGCTCCGAAAACAAATGTAGCTGTTTGTGATGAGCCTATGAGCTCATGGACTTGCTTCTTTTGTCTTGTGATGCAATTGTTTTTTTGTTTTTTTTTAACACAAGTAGAAATCTCTTTAAGTTGAATGTTTAGTGCACAACCATATTTTGAGTAATATTTTTTCAGTAAAAGAATACATGTTTATAAGAAAAAAAGTTAGATATTTTTTTTTATTACTATAATAGGTTTGCACGTTTTATAATTATCATATATTTTTAGAAATATATATATAAACGGATGTGTATTTATACTCTAAATGCTTAAACCAAATTTAAACTTTTCACCTTTTTATGCTTACATTCAATATCACTCATTACATCCACTTAACATTGAACCCCTTAGATTATTTTGGAGTTTTTTTTTTTTTCAAAAAACTTAACTGTAATAATTCTGTCTAAGATTAAATAATTTTTTTGTCAGGATCGAATCAATTTTAGCATGACAGTTTCAAACTTCTTCGGTTGGAATTTTAGGACTTTTTTTTTTAGCAAAGGAATTTTAGGACTTCTAATAGCTTTGTTATCCAAGCACTTGATGACTTGGTAAGTATTTTGATTTACAAAAAAGGTTTCAAATATAAAAAGAAAATGTAAAATAACATGCTATAAAGATAATGAAGTAGAAACTGAATATTTATCTTCTTAAGAAGTCCATTGACCATGATGATTACAATATATTTTATGTTCCAATGTACTATAAAATCGAAGTGCGTGAGGTTGGACAAGAAACAGGCCGAAAAAACAGGCTGGAGAAAAAAACTTTCCACAAAAATTGGTAAGCAAGACCATACGGTAAATATATTTGGAAAAAAGGAAGGACAAAGGTCCATTAAATAAATTAAGGTTAAATGAATTAAATTAGAAGATTAACTCACTTGAAGGATTGGGAGAATCACATTCAAAGACCTGTCAAAAAACTTATTCATAAATAAGAATTAATAACAAGTCTCATTTAAAAAAAAAGAGAGTCAATGTTCCCATCTTAATAACAATCTATTTCATATTGGTATCTATTAATTTGTAAATAAATTTTTTGCCAGATTTTTATGTGATTCTCCCTTTTTTCAAATATATATGGACCACGTCATGCTTCGGTGCTTCTTGCCAATTTTTACAAGTTTATAATTTTATAAATTTAGGTTCTATATATAAATCATTTTTCTGTCACAAGGGCGCAATTGCACGGGATGTAAATAGACATAATGATTTACACTAAGATCAACAGGCCAACTCAAATAAATTTAAAAAATTTCAAGGTCAAGTTTAAGAGTTTAAAAGATTTTCTTTACTTTAAAACCCAAAGAAATCCGAGCAAACCCTGAACCATGATATTAATTGGGTGATTTACCAGCACAACCATAATATTAATTTACATTATTAGAGATAAATTAAAAAATTATTGTGATTAAATATTATTTTAACTAAATAATAAATTTTTATTGATACATAGGATTTGAGTAAAAACATTTTATGTATAAGGATAGAGGGAGATTTTTTTTTTAATTAAACAGGTTATCCTTTTACTTAGGCATATTTAATTTAATGTCTGTTGATCAGACATGTTAATTAACCCGAATCGTGATCGTGATGATGGAGTACTATAATAAATAAAATGAACAGTGAATCTTTTGGTGGTCCTGAAGTATGTTCTATAATCAATGTACTTAATTGTACTCAGCACAAAACTAACAGATTTCGGAGGATATTGAAACTGAAGGGTTATTTGTTTGTTTGTTTGTTTTTTTTTTTTACTTCAAACGTAATTATATTATAAAAAAAGAAAAAGTAAAAAGTACATTAAAAGTAATTAAGAATTTAAAATTCCAGATGAAGGCATCTGGAATTAGGTGGGCTAGGGAAAGGAAAACAAATGGAAATGGAAAAAGTAAAGTGAGGGTAGTGTTGAAGAAAGAAGATGTCTGAATTGACCACACAACTTTGATCTTCTACCGTTGGAGTCCGATAATGAAGCATAACAGGTAATATGTAGTTCTACAAGGGGGAGCTAGTAATCGGCAATGCATGCAAGGATCCATAAGATTCTGAAAATTATTTTGTAGTATCAAGTCATCAATTCTGACTGATAAAGCACCAAAGCAGATTGCTCAGTTAAAAAATAAATGATTAATAGATTCTTCAACATCACAACCAAAAACGCATTTGGTGTTATTTAGTAAATGATAATGCTTTAAAACATCACCTGTTGGAATGGCCATGGTAAATATCTTCCATGTGAGCAAAAGAAATGTTCTGGGTAAACCTAGTCTCCAGAAGACTTTCAAGGAAAAGGAGCCGTATCGTCAAAAGAAATCTCCTGAGTCAATGCTTGTAAGAAACCTTCTTTGACAAGATACTTACTTGAAGAGTTGCCTTGCTATGTCAGCTTATCTTGTTGATTTTGAGCAGAGATTGGATACATAAGAATCTGATGTAGATCAATGAAAATTATAAAGCTTGGCAATATATATAGTCTTTGTTCCATTTTAAAGGATGCCAAGGCACAGAGGAACTGATGATAAAATCTAAAACCTTTTTAGTTGGCCATAGTTCAGTTCCTGGATTGGGAAAGCCAGGCTTCCAATGTTGAACCTGATTTGTTGTCCATTACCAACTCTCCATTTTAACTTTGAAGTTACTAAATCAGAGTAACCAAGAATTCCTTTCCACATCCAAGATGCATTAGAGTGCTCCTTAACTAAAGAAGGTTCATCCACATTAGCCTTAGAGGGTCCAAGAGGATTGAATTTTGAGAAACATTTAACAATCTCCAAACTTGCGTTATTAGTAAGGCTTTGTTCATCAGATGAGTCAGTCTCAAACCAAGTCCTCTAGAGTCAACTGGTTTAAAGAGAGTGTCTTTATTAGCAAGATGCATTCTTTTATCTTTTGAATCCATTTCCCAAAAGAAATCAATGCATTTAGCATCGATTTTCTTACAAATGTACGAAAGTAATTTGACACAAGATAGCTGATAAATGTTCGCAACAAATAAGACCGATTTAACTAGTGAGAGTCTAGAAGCTTGCAAAAGAAGACTGACTTTCCATGAAGCTATTCTTTTGTCAATAGCTTCAAGTAGTTGACTATAGAGCAATTTCTTGTCTTTTCCCAAGTCAACCCAAGAACTTAGATATTTACCTAGTTTATCTGAAATTGGAACACCAAAAATGTTAGCCCAGTTTTCTTTGTCAATAGCCTTTGTTGAATGATCAGTGATGATAAAACGTTAGGAGCCAAAATATAGAGCAAGGAAGATAATGGATCACCTTGCTTAATATCTCAAGAAGGAGAGATTGACCCTGTAATGGAACCGTTGAGAAGAATCTGATAACTGACAAAGGAAATGCACTGATATATGAGATTAATCCACTCTGGTGGAAAACTCATCTTACTCCTAACTACGATTATGAAATTCCAAGACAGAGAGTCAAAAGTCTTAGAGAAATCAATCTTCAAAGCTGCAAGTTTCTTTCTTCGAGCATAAGAGTGATGAATTTGATTCTTAAGCTCGGAGACCAAAAGAATATTATCAGAAATGGGCCTGCCTTTAAGAAAAGCACTTTGAAAAGGAAGAATCAATTTATGCAAAACAGACTTAAGACATTATAAAGAATTTTGGAAAAAACTTCGTAATGGTATTGCATAAGCTTATGGGTCTTGAGCCTTTGAATGTCTATGCTTTACTTCCTTTGGGAATGAGAGTAATGAAAGTTTTGTTCGTTGACTTCAGGATGAACTCAGTCTCCCACATATGACGAACCATACTAGAGATCTCAAGTCCAACAAGATGCCAATGTTTTCGAAAAAGTAAGCATGAAATTCATCTAGTCCAGGAGAGCTATCTATTGGGAGATTAAAGACAACTTCTTTGATTTCACTCTCTGTGAGAGGGGAGATAAGAGATGAGATATCAAAAGTGGAAAGTTGAGGCAATTCTAGGTCATTCAATTGATCAAGAATTTGTTCAACTGAGAGGAAGTTGGAGGTTGAGTAGATGTTGTGAACTTGTGATGATGATGCCAAGCCAAGGAAAATGATTTCTTCCAGACAATTAGTCCACAATCCATCCTTTCTCTTAATACAACTAACGAAGTTTTTTGTTTTCTCCTACTAACCATTGAATGAAAGAATTTAGTGTTTCTCTCAGCCCCAACATTCCATTTAATTCTTCCAAAAACTATGCTAACAATCATAGAGAAACTCCAGAAGGTGCTTTTTTCGTCAAGAAAAATTGAAATTTGCTCTTCAAAACCCTCAGAATTAATGCCAGAAGAAATTCGAAGGACTTTCTTTTCTAAAGTCTGAATTCTCATTTGTAGATTACCCAGAGAACATCTACTCCAATGATGAAGTGAGGTCATGGTAATAGTACTCTGGAGCTTATTTGAAATTTGGAAAGTTGAAGATCCATTGAAAATGATTGTTCCAAAAATTGAGAATGATCTCTCTTCGCACTCTTTAAAATTATACTAGAGTGGTTCAAAACGCATTAATTTGGCCTTCCTGAAAGGTGGTATAGAAATTGGAAGGACAAGCAGAGAATGATATGAGACAGCCATTCCTAAAATAGAAGCATGTGTGCGAGGGAAAAGTCTGACCCAAGAGAATTACAGAAAAGTGAGATCCAGTTTTCCCTCAACATTTGTAGATCATTTCCTCTTATTAGAGCATGTGAATTTTGGCCCGTGGTGGTGTATATTAATTAATTGTGAATTTTCAATACAAGATCTGAAAGAAGCCATTCCAGATGTTGAAGGATTGCTGCTAAATTTGTCCAACTTGGAAAAGACCTAATTGAAGTCACCCATGATTAATCAAGGCTTATCAGCTGTACTTAATAGCAGTTTGCTCAATCAAATTGCAAAGT